AAATCATGTAATAAATAGGCATCTGTGGAATGCATATTGTGTTTCAGACATTGTCCAATAGAAAGGTGAGCCACAGGATCCACTTCAAATGGCTTTATGGAAAGAAACTTAAAACTGCAAATCTCAAACAGCAAATTTATTTAGGAACTTTTGCATCTGCTGTCTCTACATACCGATAGGAACTGTGTGCTGATGATTGACTGAATTATTGCCTGCACCTGAGTATCTGAAATTTTCTGACAATTACGTGGTTGTAGTGAGCAGCCTAAGGAGCTCTGGTAGCATAGTGGTTATGAATCAGGCTGCAAACTTCAAGGTCAGCAGTTCGAATACTACCAGCTGTTCTGTGGGAGAAAGATGAGGTTTGCTGCTCCCGTAAAGATTTGCAGCCTTGAAACCCCTGTACAGGGTCACTGTACAGGGTCAGAACCTACTCCACAGCACACCACCAGCCAGCAGTCTACCTTTAATATCCAAACACACTGCACCACTAAATGTCCTTGTAGTTGTTGCTGTTAGGTGCCCTCAAGTCAGTTTTGACTCATAATGAACCTGTATATGGTTTCCAAGGAGTGTCTGGTATGCTTAAATCACTAACCTTGTGGGTAGCAGTCCAGTGCTTGTCCTCAGCACTACACCAGATCTCACTAAATGACCTACCTATCTACTGTATTTGGAATTCCACTCCTAAAGACTATTATTTATTTCACAGTATTCTCGAACCTCCAACACCACCCACACAACTTTCAGCTGTTGACATGGCTTAATACTTTACTAAGAAAAACAGAAGTAATTTAGAAGAAGCCACTTTGTTTTCCTGGTATCATATGCCCATATGTTCTACCTTTCTTCCCATTATGTTTGTCATTGTTTATACCTAACAATTTTTCCTGTGGTCTCAGCTGCATCATTAATTTATTTTTCTCTGCCAGAGAGGGATATCTTTCCCATCAATAAGCATACCCTAATAGGAATCCTGGAGTCCTGGTGTGGCACTGTGGGTTAATGTGTCAGATTGCAAAGTTGTTTGAACTGCAAGGTTGGTGGTTCAAGTTCACCAGCTGTTCCTTGGAAACCCTATACAGGGTGGCTATGGGTCGGAATTGACTCGATGGCACTTAACAACAACAACAATAGAAATCCTTGTGCGGTGCTATATGATAAACACTGGACTGCTAACAGAAATGTTGGCAGTTCAAACCCACCAGCTGCTCCTTTGAAACCCTATAAAGGGTCGCTCTGAGTTACACCTGACTTGACAACACTTAACAACAATAGAACCTAAGGAGCCCAGGTAACGTAGTGGATTACCCATAGGGCTGCCAATGACAAGGTCAGCAATTCAAATCCACCAGTTACTCTATAGTAAAAAGATGAGGCTTTCTGCTCCTGTAAAGATTTAGCTTCGGAAGCGCTACACAGGGTCACTATGAGTCAGAACCAACTTGACGGCACACAGCAACAACAGTACTGACCTTGAGCAAAAATAACCAAGAATTGCCCTTCAGGAATCCACAACCCCTTTCCTTTCATCTGTAAAACTTTTTGAAACAGTTTGAATGTCTGCCTCCACTTCTTCAATTCCCGTTTTTCCACACAATCTTCTGAAGGTTTTATTTACATCATTTTTTTATCAATGTCATATGAGTCCTGGTGTAGCACTGTGGGTTAATGTTGGACTGCAAAGTCGTTTGAACCACAGGGTCAGTAGTTCAAGCTTACTAGCCACTCCTTGGAAACCCTACACAGGGTTGCTATGGGTCAGAAGCTGCTCAATGGCACTTTGCAATAACAATCAAAGCCAAGAGACATGGTGGTTGGTGTTCTATCTTATCTAACTCAGTCCCAGTGGCATCACAGGTGACTATCCTCTCTTTTTGAAACTCTTTTCTTTTGATATTCCTGATACCACAATGTCCTGTTTGTCCTCCTGCATAATTGCTTTTTTTTTGGTCTGCTTTGCTGATTTTTCCACCTTTGAATGTTGAGTGTCCCTGAGGTTAGTACTACTATATCGTCTTGGTCTCCAGCTGAACTCCCACGTCATTTACTCTAGACCTATGACTTTAAATATATCCATAAGAGGAGTCCTGGTGTGGTGCTGTGGGCTAATGTGTCAGACTGCAAAGCCATTTGAACTGCAAGATCAGTGGTTCAAGCTCACCAGCTGCTCCTTAGAAAACCTATACAGGGTCGCAATGGGTCATGGGTCGGAACTGACTCGACGGCACATAACAACAACAACATAAGTGGACAACCACCAAGTGTATACATCACAGCTTTCTTATTCCTTGTTCTCTTCTACCACAAACCTACTTTTGTTCCTCTTCAATCTTATTTCTACCCCATCTTTCAACTCCAAAGCTTAAATGTTATTCTCTAGTTCCTTCTTTTCTTCATTCTACTACATCAAATTCATCAGTAAGTACTACCAGCAATATCTTCAAACTGCATTTCAGTCTGAATACTTTTTTTTTAATTGCAAATTGAGTGATAGTTTACATGGGAGAACATCAGCTTTACATCCATCTTTTTTTATTGTATTTTGTTTCATTGCAATGATTTCAGTTCCCTCCATGCATCATCATTCAACAGCATTTGCTTCCATTCCCTCTGTGGGCTTTTTTTTTTTGGGGGGGGGGGTTGGGGGGAGAGGTGGGGTTTAACACCGAATCACTCAGGAATGTATAACCATTCGAACAACCAAAGGGTATAAAAGCCTGCCCCCTGGCTGCCAGCACACAGCCCCTCTCCCTCTGTGAGTCTAAAGTCCCAAGCCTCTCCATCTCTCCACATCATCATCCCTGCCTCCATCTCTGGCGTCACTGCTTCTCTGGATAGGGTCCTGCACTCAACTCTTCTCCCTTGATGGTCCCAGGGTCCTCCACTCCCTCCTTTTGTTACAAAAAGTCTACCTTTACATTTGCAACTTTCACAATCAGTCCTGATAGCAATTATTCACTATTGCAACTTTCACAATCAGTCCTGATAGCAGTTATTCACTATTGAACCATAAGAGTCTTGTCCCCATCTCCTTTCACCAGTCCCATCTAGACAGGTGGGAAACCACTCAGTGGAGATTCTACCTTCCCCCACACCTTCTGAAACTTTTTCAAGAGCTCCCTCTTGAAAACTTGTAAGCCAGTCACTTTGTGCCTTTGTAGCCCACCCTTTTTGGGTAGCCAATGCCTAAGTTGCACATCCCTGTCAACCCTGTGTACAGAGGGGGTGGGAATGATCCTTGCTGTCAAGATTCATTCCCTCTTTTAAGCTACTACATCCATAAATATAGGTCCAGTTCATCAAATTGTAGTGGATTACACTTTTTTTTCCCTCTTCTTTCTTCCTCTAGTTGAATTCTGATCATCCAGACATTGAAGCCAGGTCAAATGGGACTATCTGCAAGTATGGGTGTTCTTGTGCATCTCCCCTCACTTCATATCAGCTGGATGCTTCACGCTCTGCTCTAGTCCTCTGTGGCTATGTCCCTGTCCATGGGCTCAGGAGTCCCCAGGTCTTGTTATACTGCTAGCCAACCAGGTATCAATCCAGGTGGACAGGAGTCTATTGAATTCGGTCAGGTTTAGCCTACAACTTCATTGCTGTTTTTCCCTGACTTCCTCTTATTGGTAGACCAACATGGTCACCAGCAAGACTATATGCCTGCTCATGTATTCCCTTTTAGTTAGAATCTTGGAAGGGGGTTTGCCCTGAGGAGACTTGATGCTTTATTTGATGACTCCCCTGCAAACAACTTGCTTGTTCTTGTAGTAGTCAATCAGTCAGTCTGAATACTCTTAACATCAATTGTAACCTCCTTGGCTCATGCAACTCTCATCTCTGCTTAGACAATGCACAGACCTCTAAGTGGTTTCATTGTTACCACCTTTGTCATTCCTGTAATTTATTCTCCAAAGAGTTGTCTGAAGGATTTAAAAAATACTATAGCATCTCGCCATCCCCACTAAAATAAATAATAAAGGGGAGGGGGGGATAGTAGACAAAGGTGTGTCAAAATAATTGTTGATTGTGTACACATGGGGGATAATCTACTAGCCTCTCTACTTTTATATGTATATGCTTGAAATTTTTCATAATAAAAACTTTTTTAAAAAGCGCAACTAAAAACTTTCCAGGTCTTTGTCATTGCCTTCAAAGTCCTGGATGAATGTCTACTCTTTCTTCCCTAAACTTTTATTCATTCCATTCTCATTATTGTTTGCTATGGTTTAGCCACACTCACCTTCTGGCTCTTCCTAAATACTTCAAAGGTTTACACTTTCTGTTCCCTCTGCCTGCCAAACTCTGCAGAGCTGAGATATTCAGGTCCTACTGACCACACCCTGACTCCCATTCATACACATTCTATTTTGTTAAATGATGTCACTTTGCCTATGTGTTTATTATTTGTCTTCCTCAACTAGAATATAAGTGCCATTAGGCAAGAGTCTTGTGTCTAAAACAGGGCACAGTGGGTAGCAATGAAATATTATGCTATATGTATGAAGTGAGTACTTATATATGAATGAAGTAAGTACTATGATTTATTCCCAGTTTAAAAATAAAGAAATTGTGGCTGCAAAAAAATCAGTAATTTTCTTAGTGTCACAGATCTTAAGAGGCAGAACTGGGAAGTGAACCCAAGTTTATCTGACTCAGGAACTTGGTAAATCTCAAATATATTATCACCTGGTGGACTTACTGGGTACTAAGGGTACAACCCCCCATTTACAAAATTGAATGATGAATTACCTTTGTAGATATATTGTTTTGGCAAGAAATTCCATGACTTTAATTAAATTCTCAAAAGTTATTGAGCCCTCAAATTAAATTAAAAAAAAAATCTTTGATTGCTACCAGGAGTATCTTACTATATTAGAAGCGCAACACAATGTGAAAAATTTAAAGAGCAGACTGACAAGACCATTATGGTATCTGGTCCTGAAAACTGATACGTATTAACAATTAAGTAAAATTTTGGATTTAAACATTTTTTGCAGGCCATCGGACGTCCATTTATGCCTCCTTACTGGTCTCTAGGATTTCAACTGAGTCGATGGGGCTATAACAACATAGAAGTGCAGCGAAAAACAGTTGAACGTTTAAAACACTATGATATCCCTCTTGTAAGTGTACCCCTAAACACTATGGTGTAAATTAAGAGCAACAAGAAAATTAGACAGTGTAGTAATTATATTGCAACATAAAATATGCACACACACACACACACACACATATATACATATGGAGCTCTGGTAGTGTAGTGGTTACGAGTCGGACTGCCAACCTCAAGGTCAGCAGTTTGAAACTACCAGCTGCTCTGCGGGAGAAAGATGATGAGGCGCTCTGCTCCCGTAAAGATTTACAGCCTTGGAAACCCTGTGCAGGGTCACTATGAGTCGGAATCGACTTCACGGTACTTGCCAACAACATATATATACATATATATGTAGTGATTATATTGCAACATGAAATATGCACACATAGATGTAAGTGCCATCATAGTGTCCTTGTATAGGGTTTCCAAGGAGTGGCTGGTGAGCTTGAACCACTGACCTTGCGATTCAAAGCGACTGTGCAGTCCAGTGCATTAACCCACAGCGCCACACCAGGACTCCATACAAACACACACACACACATGTGTGTATCTGTAAGTTTCACATTGTAATATATCGTTGCATACATATAAACTACATATACATGATGCCAGTTCAATGCGTGTTCTACATATATATTACATTCTACATATGTATTATATTGCAACATGAAATATACACACACATAAGTATGCATATTTTCAATGTGTTGCAGTACAATAACTACATATATATATATATAGCATGCATGAAATTAGCATCATTCTTGTTTATTATCCTCAGTTTCTAATAAAAAAATCATGTTTTTCTCTTTTACTTATAGAATAATGTAAAACTCACAGTAATGTTTGAAGTTAAATATAGTAACTTAGTTACTTATGATACTTTGATACTCTTTTTAAATATATTTTTTGACGTTTGAAGGTCATATCTATGTTGCTTCTTTGTACAGGACGTTCAGTATGGTGATATTGACTACATGGATCGTCAGTTGGACTTCACATACGATAAAACTAACTTTGCTGGTCTGCCTGAGTATGTTAAGACATTGAAAAGAGATGGAATGCATTATGTCATTATTTTGGTAAATTTCTTTTTGAAATTAAAGAACATATTTTAATTCACACTGTTTGAGCATTTCTAAAAATACATATGACAATTAATTTATCAAAACTTTCTAGCAACATATTTTAGAGAAACATGACTGCATTAAAGGAAAATAAATTATAAGAAGTGTTATATTATTCATAGCAAGTGATAGGAATTCATTAAGGTTTCTAGAATCAAAGGTTCTTTTGAAAAGAAACTCAGTTTATAGGTAAAAGACCAAAAACTTTTTTCCCTAGATGGCCCTGGCTGTGAAAATTTGAAGACCTGGACACAAAATCCTAAATGAAGAATAATATGGTTATTAAATAAATGCAATGATTCATAGGCTAAGAGAAAATTTCCTTCATGCTGGGAGACAACATTACTGGTCATTTAATACATTTGTAATATAAAAGTGATCCCCATGAGTACTTCTAGGAGCACGAATATTACTAAAAGTTAGTTTTCAATATTATGCTTGTCTTAGTGTAGATAAGATTTTTAAATTTGTAAAATAATTTTATTGTTATTATAATGTAATTTTTAAAAATGTTACTGTTAAAATTCCTATATGACAATTAATGATGCTTGAGATTTATGATTTTTTAATGAATAACTAGTTTTAAATTAAAAAAAATTCATTACTCAACTGAGACAATTTAACAAAAGAATATATAGAAAAGCATTTTTAAATAAAACTATTGTGATCATAAGAAATTTAGCAGGAGAATCAGGCTTGGAGTAAGAGCAATAATATTTGTGGGGGAAACATTATAGAATTGTAAACTGTTTTCTCCCTCGAGTGATTAACTTTTACAGTAACTTTAAGAGGTTTCTTACTACATTGAATTTTATTGAAGAAAAACTTGGACTTCCTCAAAATTTAGGGCTATATCTAGGCATTCTTGTAGCAGCATTGAGAATAGCATCCCAATTTCTTGATTTCTCCATCTATATAAGATTTATGCTCTTAGATACCGTTTCATGTAAATTAGAAATGTTAATCAAAAGCAACTGATTGCATTGCTAAACTAAAGTGATATCACTAGTGGCCATATAAGGAGCTGGTAGCATAGTGGGTTGCACACATTGGGTTGATAACCACAAATTCAGCAGTTCAAATCCACCAGCCGCTCCATGGGGAAAAAAATGAGGCTTTCAATTCCTCAAAGATTTACAACTTTGGAAACCCTATATAGGGTTACTATGTGTTAGAACCAACATGATGACATGCTGCATCAGTGACCATATTTTACAGTTCTAAAAATTAATGGAAATAGTTGTTATATTCATAATCATATTTAATATGTGAGAATATCTCAATGTATGCAACATAAAACATGATTTATATGAATAGTAGAGATTCTTATTTCAAGTATTTCTGGAAAATTTACATTTACTTAGCTTCATCATACTATTTTTTTTTATTATTATTATAATGTTCATGGAAATTTGCAGGATCCCTTTTTGACAAAAGATGAACCAGCAGGTACTTATAAAGCGTATGACCTTGGACAGGAAATGGGAATATGGATCAATAACTCTGATGGAGCCACCCCAGCTGTTGGCAGGGTAAGTACCTTAATGAAGAATAGATACCAAGCTCTTTCTTAGTGAGTATTTGATTAACAAGTACAATTCACGTGACATCAGTGAACAGAAACCATTTGCGTTCTGTTCAAGACCATTATGTGCAACTTCTTCCGCTGTGCTGGCTCTTTAGTATCGGAGCTTTGGTCTAGATAACATTATTATTAGGAGCCCTGGTGGCACAATGGGTAAGCACTCAACTGCTTACTAAAAGGTCAGCAGTTTAAACCTACTCAGTGGCTCCATGGGAGAAATATCTACAGATCTGCTCACATAAAGATTGTTGTTGTTGTTGTTGTTTGTACCGTGGAATCGACTCATAATGACCCTGCACTGGGTTTCCAAAGCTGTAAATCTTTAGGGAAGCAGAAAACGTCATCCTTCTCCCATGGAACGGCTGGTAGTTTCGAACTTCTGACTTTGAGGTTAGCAGCCCGATTCGTAAGGAGCTCTGGTAGCGAGCGTGGTGGTTACAAATCGGGCTGCTAATCTCACGGTCAGCAGTTGGAAAACTACCAGCTGTTTCGCGGGAGAAAGATGAGGCTTTCTGCTGCCGTAAAGATTTACAGCCTCGGAAATCCTGTACAAGGTCGCTATGGGTCAGAATCCACTTGACAGCACTTAACAACAACAACACGCTATCAGAGCTCCTTCACATAAAGATTAAAGCATAGGAAATCCTACTCTGTCCTATAGGTTTGCTATGTTTTGGAATCAATTTTGCAGCACAATGACATTACTGTTAAAAAATCATTTAAGTCACATAGAATGGGTAAGAAATGAAAAGAATATTTTAATGCACATAGTGCTCATTTTCTGGCATTATATCAGACAATATTCTGGTATTCTTCATCAAGTTTCAATATTCAATACTCTGGTGCTATCTGGAAGTGTTCCACTGGTATTTATAAGGTTTTCAGTCACTAAATAGTCAGAAGGAGTCTGTTTCTCCTTTTTCCTAGTTTGTCTTCATCTGGAAGCTCATCTGAAACGTGTCCACCCTGGGTAAACCTTCTGATATTTAAAATACCCATGGCATAGCTTCCCAAATCACAGCAAGAGGCAAGCCACCACAGTTTGACAAACTGACAGAAGAGTGGTGAATGTTAGTACATAGGTGTGATATATATTTTGTCTCATTATTTCTATGAGAAAATTTGCTAAGATGAAATTGCCACATCTAAAATGCCCATCACAAGTTTCTATATGTATTTTCCAAGTGTTAAAATTTGTAATGTGCATATAAATCTACAAAATTAGCAGCAGGCATAAACAACTCCTGTTGAGTCGATGTGTGTTAAACTGCATTCTGTAAGGTTTTCAATAATAACATTATTAAAGATGATATTTCATAAAGGTTGTATTTCAAAATAGTGGGGAAATGCTGAATTATTCAACAGCTTTGAAAAATCAGGTGCTACGTTTTCAAAAGCACCTCTGGGTGAATCTGAGCGATCTTTCGTTTAGCAGCCAATTATGTTAAACACTCAGGGATCCCAACAGGTATAACAGTACTGCTTACCTACATATTCACCAGTACAGACCAAGCAAAAAGCTAAGTCTATTTTCTTGTATCTCAGCTCTTTCAGTATTTGTGAGGCACATCATCTTGTTTATAACATTCATTGCCTCTTCATTTTCTTTGTGAAAAATCAATAAATATTCTTTATCATTTTCTTATTGGGAATATTACCTTTATCTTAATGGTTCATAAAATATTTATTATTTTCTGTATGTGATTCCAAATATGTTTCCTAGACTATTTGTCTTCTAACCCATTTTTATGTGTCTTTTGCTGAATAGTTTAAATTATTTTTTTATTTGGTTTCCGCCTTTGATATCATATTTTCATATTTTTTACCTTTCAGAAAAGGCCTTTCTGAACTCGGGTCTGTAAAAATAGACTCCTATAGGGTCGCTATGAGTCGGTACCGACTCGATGGCACCTAACAACAACAACATAAATACACAGCAATATATACTTATATGTAGTGTATTTGGATTGGCAAAGTGGCAACAGCAATGGACTCAAGTGTAACGACACTTGTGAGGGTGGCACAGGCCTGGGCAGGGTTCCATTCTGTTGTGCATATGGTTGCTATGACTCAGGATCAACAGCACCTAACAACATATCTACTTAAAGAATTTTCAACTTATTAAAACTTTGTGTATAAGTTTGTGTAATTAAGTGGGAATATAACTTAATTTTTTCAAATGGATAATGTTGAATAATTCAGTATTTCCCCTGTGCTTTGAAATGCCATCTTTATCATACACGAAATTCCTACATAAACATGTATTTCCTAGGACTGTTGCATTTTTCTGTTTATCCATTCCTGTATACAATGTTGTTTTACTTAATATGACCTTGTTGTTGTTGTTGTTATGTGCCATGGAGTCGGTTCCGACTCATAGTGACCCTGTACAGGGGTTCCAAGGCTGTAAATCTTTACGGGAGCAGAAAGCCTCATTTGTCTCTCTCCAAACGGCTGACCTTGAGGTTAGCAGCCGACTCGTAACCAAGCTACCAGAGCTCCTTCATAAAACTGGTTCTATGGAGAGCAATCTAGAATGTGAACACTGTAATTCTATTTTCATTTTCCTGTCTTCCCACTCCTCAAATGGACAAAACTTTACAACTCCTTTCCCTAAAAGCCTGATAGTGGTGGCGGTATGCAGTGGAGTCGGTTCCGACTCATAGCGACGCTGTATAGGGTTTCCGAGGCTGTAAATCTTTATGGGAGCAGAAAGCCTCATCTTTCTCCAGAGGAACAGCTGGTAGTTTGTGACTGCTGTGAGATTAGCAGCCCGATTCGTAAACACTATGCTACCGGAGCTCTTTGGGATATGTTTATTTAGGCTTTTTATTTTTCCAAAATTCTTAAGCATGACCTCTCATTTATATGTCCAAATGAAACATAGAATCAATTTACAAACTATAGCAATAGAATTTGAGTTGAAATTGATTTAAATTTATAAATCAGTTTGGAACGATATATTCATGTCATTGAAATTTTCCTATCCATAAATATTATATATTTCCCAATTCATGCATTTTTTATATGCTTCATGAACATTCTATGGTTTGCATTATATTATTCTTATTATAGTTTTTGTTGAGACCATAGATATATTATTGCTTTGTTATTACGGTAAATACATTTTTCACATTTTTGAATCTCTATACAAGGCGCTCTGGTAGCGAATCGGGCTGCTAACCTCATGGTCAGTAGTTCAAAACTACCAGCTGTTCCACAGGAGAAAGATGAGGCTTTCTGATCTGGTAAAGATTTACAGCCTCGGAAATCCTGTACAGGGTCGCTATGAGTTGGAACCGACTCCATAGCATATAACAACAACAATATACATGTATGATTGAGTCCTGGTGTGGGGCTGTTGGTTTGAACTGCAAGGTCCATGGTTCAAATTCACCAGCCACTCCTATACAATGTTGCTATAAGTCAGAACTGACTTGATGGCACTTCACAACAAGAGCAACATATATATATATACATATAATATGATATATATTAATGTGTGAAGAATGTAAAAACATAATAAAACAATAAGAGTTCATGCACAGTTTTATTATTAGAAGAACATTGGACTGGGATGTGGGCTTCTCTTCCCTTTATAGCACTTAATTGTTATTTCTTTAAACTATGTGCTTGGTCATGTATTTAACTTTCCCAAGACTCAATTTTAACTTGAATGTCTTAAAATAACTAAATAAATAAGACCCAGTTATAGGGTCACAATGGGTCGCTATGTGTCAATGGAGAAAAGATTGAAGTTGTCAAAGACTTCATTTTGCTCTGATCAACCATCAACAAACACTCAGGGAAGCAGCCATCAAGAAATCAAATGACGTATTGCATTAGACAAAAGACTTTTTAAAAAGTATTGAAGAGCACAAGAACAAGCAAGTTGCTTGCCCAGGAGACACCAAGGCAAGTGGTTGGGTCCCCTCAGTGCAAACCCCCTTCCAAGACTAAGACTCAATGGGAATATATGCTCTGATTGGCGACCACGCTCGTCACCCATAAGGGGAAGTGAGGGAAAAACAACAATGAAGCAGCGAGCTAAGCTCTACAATGTTCAATAGACTCCTGTGAACCCCGGTGGAGACCTGGTTGGCCAGCAGTGTGGCAAGACCTGGGGACTCTTAAGCCCAGAGTCAGTGACACAGTCACAGAGGACTAGAGTGGAGAGTGAAGCATCCAGATGATAAGAAGAGAGGGGATATGCGCAAGAACATCCACACTTGCAGATAAAACTCACTTGACCTGGCTTCAATGACTGGATGATCAGAGCTCGACCAGAAGAAGAAGAGGACAAAAAGCATAATCTGATACAATTTGATGAACTTGACCTACACATATGGATGCAGTAGCTCAAAAGAGGAAACAAATCCTTACAGCAAGAATCATTCCCAACCCCTCCACACACAGAGTAAACAGGGATGGGCAACTTGGACATTGGCTACCCAAAATGGGGGGGGGGGAGAGCCTACAAAGGCAAGAAGTGACTGGCTTACAAGCTTTCAAGAGAGATCCTAGATCCAGAGGATGTGGAGGAAGGTAGAATCTCCAGTGAATAGTATCCAATCTGTCTAGGCCGAGCTGATGAAGTGAAGATAGGTCTCTTGTGATACAATAGTGAATAATTGTTATCAGGACTGATTGGGAGGGTTGGAAATGTAAAGGTAGATGTTTTATAGCAAGGAGGGGAGTGATTAACTTTTCAGTTTAGGAGCTGAGGTCCCTAGGACCATCAATGGAGCTGAGAGCAGGACCCTACCCAGAGAAGCATCGATGCCTGAGATGGAGGCAGAGACGATGATATAGAGAAATGGAACAGCTGGAGACTTGAGATCCAGAGAGGGACTGTGTGCTGATGTCTGGGGGAGACATGGGGAGGAAGGCTTGCAGGGTATACCTTTTAGTTAGTTGATGATGCATGAAGGAGATTGTAACCATGGCAATTAAATGATATAAGATGGAATGAATGTAAAACTAATGTCCTCCCATGTAAACTATCACATAATTAACAATAAAACACTAAAAAAAAAAAAAAAGTATTGAAGAGCAAAGATGTCAGGATTAAGGTGCGCCTGACCCAAGATATGCTATTTTCAGTAACCTCATATGCATGTGAAAGTTGTACGGTGTATAAGGAAGACTGTAGAAGAATTGATGCATTTTAGTTATGGTGTTGAAGGATAATAATAAAAGTACCTTGGGCTGCCAAAAGAACAAATAGATCTGTGTTGGAAGAAGTACAGCCAGAGTGCTCCTTGGAAGCCAGGATGGCCAGACTTCATCTCTCATACTTCAGACATATTGTCAGGAGGGACCAGTCACTGGAGAAGGATATCATCTTTGGTAAAGTGGAGGGTCAGAAAAAAAGAGGAAGACCATCAGCGAGATGGATTGGCGAAGTGGCAGCATCAATGGGCTCAGACATAGCAATGATTTCAAGGTTGGTCCAGGACCAGACAGTGTTTTGTTATGTTGTACATAGGGTCACTATGAGTCAGTACCAACTAAATGGCACCTAACAACAACCACATGGCTTGGAACCAACTCAATGGCACTTAACAACAACATAGAGGTTTCTATACCATATTAGGAGTCCTACTGTGGCACTGTGGTTTAATGTGCTGGATTGCAAAGTTGTTTTGAACTGCAAAGTTGGCAGTTCAAGCTCACCAGATGCTCCTTGGAAACCCTGTACAGGGTCACTATGGATCGGAACTGACTCAACGGCACTTAAGAACAATAACAACATACCATATTAAGGAGCTCTGGTAGAGCAGTGAGCTAAGTGTTAATAACTGAAAAGTCAGAGGTTCAAACTCACCAGCCACTCCTTAGGAGAAAGATGGTGCAATCTGCTTCCATAAAGATTTACATTCTCAGACCATGTGAGTTAGTTCTGTTCTGTCTTGTAAGGTCACTGTGAGTTGGAATTAATTCAATGGCGGTGTTTTGTTTTGTTTTGTTTTCATGTTAGGTTATTAGCATTATTTTGATTGACTTCTTTATTTATCATAGGCCTGGCCCCCAGGAGATTCGGTGTTTCCAGACTTTACTAACCCCCTAACAACAGAATGGTGGATACAGATGTGCATGGAATTTAAGAACATCATTGATTATGATGGGATCTGGATTGTAAGCAGAAATTTATTTTTTTTAAGAATTTTTTTTCCTGCTGAAAAATGAAATGACCATTCACTTGTTTTCTTTTCAGCTTTATACAGCAAGCTATGTCATTGTTGTCGTTAAGTGCTATCGAGTCAGTTCCTACTCATAGCGACCCTGATTGCTATGAGTAAGAATGAGTACCAATCCAATGATTGGCTGGTAGGTTTGAACTGCCAACCTTGTGATTAACAGTGCAGGTCTTATCTAACAGCACTTCACAAGGACTCCATAGCAAGACCTAGAAAGTGAAAATTATTCTTCCCTGTCTTCTTTATGCTCTCTATTTCATCTTCTCTAATGGGAGTCCGGGTGTGGTGCTGTGGACTGCAAAATCAGTTTGATCGGCAAGGCCGGCAGTTCAAGCTCACAACCTGCTCCTCAGAAACCGTATATAGAGTCGCTGGGGGTCGGAACTGACTCGACAGCATTTAATAACAGCAATGCACCAGTAATGGATAGAACCATCTTCTCCAATATTGACAGCTTCAGTGTCTGCCACTGGACCGTTGCTTCTTTTGATTTTGAAAGAGGCTTGTTTATGCAGGCATCATTGTTCATACCTAGACTGTACAGGACAGTGGAAGGGACAACAGCTGGGGAGGAAGATGGACAAACAAGCTATTGTAAGGCCATTATAGGGCAAGCATTAGAAGCAATACGAACACAGATAAAGGGCATTGAATTTAGGTCAGTTGAATACCAATAGGTGATAATTAAGGTGAGAAATGATCAATTAATGGGATTTAGCTAAGGGGACTGAGTTGTGATTGGGAGTGTTTTAGGTAGTGAAACTAGTATATGGCTTGAAGGAACGATTGACACAGTTCTTTTGAGACTATAGCTAGTGTGTATGTAGTAACTTGTAAACAAAATCATATGGGCTGAAGACGGTGCGAATATTAAAGAACTCCCGATACTAACAGAGGGACATTTTTCACCACCCACAGCATAGTTTGCTGTTTCTATGTCTTTGCATGCTTTCCTTCTCATTTCTCCTCATTTCCACATGTTCAAATTCTACGATCCATTGACATGCAGTCTCCATAACAACTTTTCCATGAAGCTTTCACTGGTACTATAAATAGAAGTAATCCTTCTCTCTCTTATTTAAAAAACAAACATTTATTTGTGCCAGGTTTGCTCCCATACAAATTTAATCTTGGAAGCCCTGTACAGTACAGGGCCACTATGAATTGGAAATTAATGAATGCCGGTGGTTTTGGTTTAGGGGTTTATTCTGTGCCAGGAGGCATTGAGGACACACTTAGAAAAATGATTTCCTTTATGGAGCTAACAGTCTAGTGGGAGATATGAACTACAAGCAACATAAAGAACTAAAACAGATAGTATGTTGGATACTAATTACTGCCAAGGGGAAAGATTCATCTAGGACAGTAAATAGGAAATTTAAATAGGCTTGGGATTTAAATAGAGTTGTCAGTTAAGAAGATAATGTATAACAAAGGTGAGAAGATGGGTCCTGGGCATATCTAGGGGAAAACATTCAGACAGGGCAAGCAGTAAGTACAAAATCCTTAAAACAGAAACATTCCTGATTTTTCCAGGGTCAGCAGATAGGCCAGTGTGCTAGAGCAGAGTGATGGGGCTGGAAGGAACAATAATAGGATAAAAGTCAAAAGGATACTAAGGTAATGTTACAGAAGTCATTTTTGGCTTTACTCTGAGTTGAGTGAAATGAAGGAATGAGGATTTTAAATAGATATTTTTAAAGGCGTCCTAGTGTGGCGTTATAGGCTAAGCACTAGACCACAAAGTTAATTCGAACCTCAAGGTTTGCAGTTCGAACTCACCAGCCCCTCCTACACATGGTCATTTTGGATCAGTACTGACTCAATGGCACTTAACAACAACAGCAAATTTTAAAAGGATCACTCTGGCTGTTACATTGCGAACAGATTTGAAATGCCAAAAGCAGAGTGAAAGCAAAGGTGAGCAGGTATTATAGAGTCTTATATATAGTCTTATATTTCTGGGTCATTCTAAGAAAAATATTAAAAATTACCAGTAGAAAATTAGGAATAAAAGTATGAAGGAGTCATGCCAAAGGTGATGGCAAAATGTAAGTTTCTTTAGCTTACAGATAAATCTACTTCTGGGCCCCTTGGCAGAAAGAGACCAGTTAATAGGAACACATGACAACAAACCAGACAAGGGACAAATGATAGTGTAGACTGGAATAGTAGCAGTGGAGTAAATGAGACCTGATTGGATTCCGCATTTATTTTGAAGGGAGAGTTGACAGGATTGGTTGATGGATTGGAAATGAGCAATAAGATAAAGAAATTAAGAATGGTTTGTGTCTACAACCACTTGAAAAATGGAATTGACATTTACTGAAATAGATGATATCTGAGTTAATGCACCAGAATACAAAGCTGTTTGAACTGTAAGGTTGGCAGTTCAAGCTCACCAGCTGCTCCTTGGAAACCCTATACAGGGTCGCTATGGGTCGGAACCAACACAATGGCACTCAACAACAACATTCTTTTTCTATCATACATATTTTGTTTAACTGTTACTGATTTGCCATGAAATACTCTGTAAGATCAGGGATACTATTTTGTTTATGGCTGGACTCCTAGTTTACCATCTCACACATTTACATAGTCCAAAAATGCTTGTCAAATGATGAATGATCTTTCTTGTGCTCTTTCCCACGATGTTCCCATTATTACTGATTGAGTTCCTATTTTTTATGTAAGGATATGAATGAACCATCCAATTTTGCAACAGGACAGCAGCCAGGATGTGCAAATAACAATCTAAACAACCCACCCTATGTGCCTGGTAAGTACACAGAAATTGCCAAATGATTTTGAAATATTTTTACATCCCATGGGAGAAAAGTATCTTTAATTCTATCAATTTGATTTAGAAAGTGTATGTTTCCTTTCAGAGCTCTCACTAATCTCACCAGAAATTCTCTAACATGTATTTGTACCTGCTAACTGAATGGTCAGAGTCCAAAGTCACTTCACAGGACAACAATGTGGCAGTCTGCTTCCATAAAGATTTATAACCTTGGAAACCCTATATGGCAGTTCTATTCTGTCTTGTAGGGTTGCTATGAGTCAGAATTGACTTGGTGGCAATGGGTCTGGTCTTTTGGGTTGTGTGTCCCTTTGGTGGTGAGACCTTGGAATTCCTCACTTGCCCTGGGAGGAGCCAAAGATTCCCTTCCTTAAAATGAGGCAGGAAGCTAGATTTCCTGGTATGATACTGCTGTTGCCTCTTAGATGATCTTTTTGTTATTGTTGTTGTTGTTAGGTGCCATCGAGTTGGTACCGACTCATAGCGACCTTATGCACAGCAGAACAAAACACTGCCCAATTATTAGGGACCATGATAACAAAAGGTGGACCCTGACTCTTCAGTAGACGGTCCTTGTCTTTGCTAACCAAGAATAATCAGATTAAACAGACAAGAGTTTCACCTGAGCAAAGGATTTAGGAGGAGCCATGGCGGAGTGGGTTAATGTGGCAGACTGCAAAGCCTTTGAACTTCAAGGTCGGTGGTTCAAGCTCACCAGCTGCTCCACGGAAACCCTATACAGGGTCACTATGGGTCGGAACCAACTCGATGGCACAACAACAACAGTGCTTACTGGATGTGTGATCGGTATTTCTTCATGATGTTAAAAGGCCTCTAGTAAGGGAAGACAAAACTTATTCTGGGATGCTGAGCATGCATGAGTCTTCAGGATCCTGCTTCAAACACTCTCCCAGGGGCTAATGTTTTCCTTGGCCCTAGCAGAATGCAACTCTTTAAAGTTATGCCTAGGAAATTGAGTAAACCAGTCTGGCCTTTAAAACATCTTACAAGGAAGTAAAATGCAGAATTTTTATGGATGGTCTTCTTTAATGGTATGTCCCATCTTACAAGGGAGTAAAATAGGAATTTTTATGGCATGTCCCAGAATGTGGCTGCTCAGCTATGATCCTTAAACGTGTACTACACATCTTTAAAAGTGCTCTAGCAAGCAGACCAAACATTCCTTAAGGATTTAGTCACAAGATTTCAGGCAATAAATGGCTCACGTTTAATGCCGATTTCTGGACCCTCTTTTCTCCCTGCCACACTTTGGCTATAAGGTCTTGGTTAAACTTATAATTTCCACATTTTGGGCTACTTCTTTAACTAACTTTTGATTAACCCACTATTGATTCCAACTCATAGTGTTACAGCAGTTTTAGATTCATGGTCAAAGAAACCAAGGCCACTTGGAGAGGTTAAGCAGAGTTTCAGATTTTATTAAGCCGGAGCTAATTTCTCCAGATTCTGAGCCCTGAATGGAGGGGAACACGGGCTTATATGGGGTCAGAGTCCGGGGAGGGGCCAGGCTTCGTATCTGTCTGAAGGCAGGGGGATACCAGGAGGATAGGTCCCATTTGGTGACCTGATTAACATTTTAGCTTGCCTCCTGGGCAGGAGAGGGCAGTGAATGATTTTTACCATTTCCTTTTCATTGCCCCCTTGGATCCCCTTTGGGACCTTGTCCCCAGGGGCGTCATCTATGTAAGGAATGGTATTTTGGTATTGTTTTGGATTGTTGGTACCCTTTTCGATTGATTATTGTTTTAATGGCCGTTCCTATGACCCTGATTGCTAGTGGAAATAAACATGGACTGATTAAGTAAATTCCTAATAAAACAGGACTCCACCCACAAGGGTCTTGAACCCTTTAGAGGTGAAGAATTACTCTTCCCATAGGCTCTGTGGGTTCCACCCATTCCAGGTTTGCACAGGGACATGGGAAACTTTCTGCATTTTTACAAGGTCTTCTACTGCCAGGTTCTGGTCATCTACTTGTATGTAGCAGTTAGCAAAATTAACCTTCTCACACACCCATCCTCCCTCCGCAGCCAAAAAGTAGTTTAGGGCTAATTTATTTTGATAGATGGCATATTTCGTATCTGGGTCTGTTGATATGCAAGAGGAGTTAGGGACACCCCAGTTCCATTGGTTCAGTTACCTAGGAAGGTGCCCTCACTTTTAGAAGCGTAGTGTGGTTACTGTTTGGCCCACCTTGGTGGTGTGGGTGTATAGATTACACAGATTTCTCCCTTTCCCACACCCCAAAGTCTTATTAAAATGAATCCCATGGCAGACATCATGCTTCAGCCATGCATAGATCAGCCAGCTCCCAGTTTATGGCTGAAGCAGGGCGGTTTGTATGTCTCCTTGTTACCTTGTGAGGGTTGGTAAGGTCAGTTTCAGCTTCTCATGGAGACGAGGCTTTCTTCAGTCTGCTGTGGTGAATCTAGGTGGGGACTCCTTCTACCTTGGCTGCTGGGCTTGGGAAATTTCTTGTTCTAGTCCTCCATAATCTTTGCAGATGCTTCTAGATGCCCTCCTGAAAGGAAAAACAAATCAGATACATTTATTACACTCTGAGCTAAATAGGCCCAAATGTTTTTTTTATCCCATTGAAAGGAATAGTGTTTTACGAGAGTCCCATTGTGTCCAAGTTGAGTCCGGCTAACTTGACAGCTGTCGGGGTGGCTAGAAGGACTTCCCAAGGTCCAATCCACTTTTTTTCTCTAACTGGTTTTCAGGTCCATCTCTCCATGTTCTGAGCAGAATATGATCTACACGCTGGAAGGGATCAGATTACCTGTAGAGAAGGAAGCCGTCCTGAAAAGAGCAATTTTACAAATAACAGAAATGTATGGTGGAGGTGTTGTGCATACCACTGCACCTTTAAACCTTTCCTGAGGTCAGGTAGAGGCTTGAGGGAAGCTGCCTGGGAATGTTTACTGTATACAACTTTATAAGGGCTCAATTTAAGCCCGCTTCTGAGGGCTACCTGAATTCGAAACAGGACTAAGGCAACACCTGGTCCCAATGTAGATAAATTTCCTCACTGTTCTGTCATTTGTCTCTTTAGTGTATGGTTCATTTTCTCAAACCTCCATGTTGAATGAAATCTCCATTTATTCTGTGGTGTTTGCTGCTCTGTTGTCACTTTGGACACTCTGGAAGTCCAAACTTGGAGGTAATCTCCTTCAAGAGGATTTTCATTATTTCTGAAGTTCTTAGTTCTGGTGGGGGAAAATCTCTACCCAACCAGAAAAGGTGTCTACAAAAACAAAACCAGCAAATATGTAATTCCCCAGCTTGGGGGCATCTGCATGAAATCAGCCTGTTAATTTTCAGTGGGTTGTTTACCTTGGTATTGGTGCAGGACAGACTGTCTTGGGATTGTTCTTGAAGTAGGTAACAGTCAGAGCTAACCTCCTGAATGATTCTTTTGAAAATTTCTTGTTCTAGTGCCAAGGCCTAATGAACCAAGTCAGGGGCCTCTTTCCTGTAGTGGGTCATCTCATGGGCTCATTTAAGAAGAGCAGGTGCTAGTTTTCACTGGATCAGAACCATTCTATTAAAAAGCCATTTACTTTTTAGCTTTTAACTTCTCAGAACCGGAACAATTCCATTGTCGTCTACTTTTCATTCTTTTAACTCCTTTCTCCAATCCTTCTGCCTCAGTTCTACTAAAGTCCTCTGGGTACACATTCAGTTTTTCTTGTCAACATTTCTAATGCCCTCATCAGTGCAATCAGCTCAGCTTTTTATGAGCTGAGATCCCTGGCAGGAGGGCTATTGCCTCTACCCAGTCTTGTAAGATTACTATTACACACTCTGCTATCCGAGTCCCTTTTTCCATGTAACTACTTCTGCTCACAAACAATGTCTAGTCTACCAGATACAGTTAAACTGGTCAGGTTGGCTGGAAAATACTTGGTCAATGATTTCTATACAAATCATGGTTCAGCCCTCAGGGGAGGATGGCAGGTTTAGTTGCCCCATAATTCACAGGGTAATATTCAGATTGTCCAGTAGAATAACCTGGTATTGCCTATCCATCCTGTTGTGAGCCATAGACTTCCCTTCTGTAGCAGCAGGGAGACGGCTTGATGGGGATGGGGATGAGCTGGCCAGAATGAATTTCTCGGCCTCTTTTCTGAGAGAATATTGGTCAGTTTCCAGGCTTTAATCAGACCTCGACAGGGGATGCTTGTTGGCTCTTCCAGGAGTTCCGCTTGTCCACACGGGGGTTTTACCTGATTGTCGATCTCCTCAGGCCAATGTGACTGGTTTCCTGAGTCTGAATCAGTAATCGCCAGGCATGTTCATGAGGGACATCCATCTGCAGACTTTTGGGTTCAGAAAGCTGTTTGAACATGCAACTCTGGAAGCAGGTCCTGGCCCAGTAAGGGGACCAGTCAGTTATTTTCTTTTCCCCAATGAAGCAGTCCAGGGGTTTCAGGAAGAGCTGGGCCTCAGGCTTCCTGGAGATCTCAGTCACCATCACTGTCTCCATTATTATTTTCAGCTGAAGCCCCACTGGTGGGGGCAATAAGAGTGGCAGAAGTTGATGCCAAATCATGCTGGGCCCCTTATCCCCTGACAATGTTAGTCTTCTGCAGACAATAAAACTCGTTCAACCGTCTTTTGAGTTGGATGGCTTTTTCTACCAGCTCCTCCCCTGAGATTTGGGCATTTATTTTTTTTCAGTGTCCAGGTTTTTGCATAAGCACACCAGTCCTTGCTTAGGGACTTCAATCCTTTCTGGGTTCCTCCCTGGACAGGCTTACCTCTAGTAGTCTTTTAGGAGGACAGTTATGGCCTGAAATTTCTCGTGCTCTTGGCTGTTAAATACCTTGAAGGTGATGTCCACCAGTTGGGATGGATTCATGCCAATTGCCCTGTCAAATTTGTGCCATTTCTTTCCAAAATCCTGGGTGCTCTGGGAGATAAAAGTCATGTTACCCATTTGGATATTTGCT